AATTAAAGATTTTATACGAAATAGCCAAAAGTAGAATAATAAGGAAAATGAGCACTGATGTGTTTATTGTGAGAGAACTCCTTTTTCATGGTTTCATTTAAAAAATGTCTCCTTAAGTTTAAAATGAAGGTAGCCGCCACGGTGCCAGGTGCGCGGTGAGCAGGGGACGCCGAGACGGTGCTCTGCCGGGAGGCCCTCGGCTCAGGCCAGGCGGCGTGGGATGCCTCCCTCCCCCCACGGCCGGAAACCAGGGCGGACGCGGTGGCTGCGGTGCGGAGCCGGACAGAAGTCAGTGGAGCAGGAGCAGGGAGGACACGGCTGTGAAGGTTGAAGTTAAGCACAGGGTCCCGTCTGGCACGAAGAACTTCGTCCCCTGGGGAAGGGCCGGCCAGAGAGCCTGCGGCCGAGTGGGGCTTCGGGCCTCAGGGCGGACACATTAGTGAGGCCTTCTCTCACCTCCTTTAACGTCGGGTGCTCATAGTAATTTGGGCTCACAGCTTTCCTTCTTGGAAGTCTAAGTGCTGTAAAATGAATTTTAGACAGAGAGCTATGGAGTAATAACCACATCCACCGTGAGCAGTTTGTCAAGCCATCCCCACTCAGTGGGTGCACGTGTGAGGCCGCGTGCGTGGGCTTCCGCTGCGCACTGTTCTCCGCCGGCGCCGGCCAACCTGCCCGCCCTGCCCGCAGCCTCTGGCCCATCAGCAGTTCCGTCAGCGCGTTTACTGAGCGTGTTCCCTGGGGCACTGCGCCCGCGCTCACTGCTCCCCCGACGCCGATCCAGCGCCCAGTGCATCCCCTCTTCACAGACGAGGAAACGGAAGGCGAGGCCGCTGTTCCATCGTCACCTGAGCAACAGTGCGGAGCATTCGAGTCTCATTTCAGGGCCGGTTCTGCCCCGGGAGTGGGAAGCAGCTCCTGGCTGGTCCCGGCTGCCGGATGCGCTGGGACAGGTCTGGCTCAGCGGGAAGGCGGTTGGCAGAGAAATTGCTGGGCAGTTGGGCGGCTTCTGCAGAGCCTTGGGCCCATTTCCTGGGTCTTTGAAGTCCCCTTAACTGTTGTTTGGTTTTCTTTGTGAATCCTCAGCGCTTCTCCTTGTGTTTGTGCACAGAAAGCCCTGACACCGCTCAGATATGAGCGGGGGCGCCGGGGAGAGCGTGGGACGGGTCGTGAGCATTGTTTGGAAAGATAGTAAATATTTTTAATTTCACAGACCAGACAGCCTGCTCTGTCCACTTACTCAACTCTGCCTGTGCAGGGGAAGCAGCCAGAGGCAATCCTTTCCATATAATAAAAGGCTAATATGCAAGTAGACTGAATCATGAAAGAATCAGAACAACCAGTCGCTATGACGTGCACTGACCACCAGGGTGTGTGTGCAGAACATGGCGGGATGGCCGCGGCGGGATGGTGGAGCAGGCGAACAGGGGTGCCAGACCAAGGCAGGGCACCGGTACCTGTCATCGGGGTGAGCCTCTGGTGGTTACTGAAAATTCTTTGCTCCCGTGCGCCACAGTTCTGCCCGGTGCTTGCACCCGCAGCTGGCGCCAGCCCCGCTCGCACCCACTGCTGGTGCCTGGCGCTGGTCCCAATCACTCAGCGCCATCAGCGGGTGCTAGCAGTGGCTGCCACTCCTGATCACCCCTGAGGGCTTCTCCACCTCCCCCTGCTCCTGAGGGGTGATCAGGGCAGCAGCTGCTGCTCGCACCCGCTGACAGCACCAGCCCCACTCTCACCCGCTGCTGGCTCCGGCCCCAATCGCTCTGCACCATCAACCTGTGGGGCTGCCAGCAGACAGAGAACCGGGGCTGTGATGGGAGGGGCCGGGAGGAGGCGTGGAGGATGGGCCAAGACCTGCCCCTGTGCCTTATGGCCCACAGGTCCTTTCAAGGTCACAAATTCGTGCACTGGGCCCCTAGTGTGTAAATGAAGGGGCATGGTGGCGCCAATAACATTTACTTAGGAGCCTGGAGGGTGGAATCCACATAACTTCCACATGTCACAAAATACCACTCTTTTGTTTTCCCCCACCATTTAGAAGTAGAAAAACCATTCTTTGCTTGGAGGCACAAAACAAGTGGCCAATAGCTGGTCACACCTGGAACACAGGAGAGGGACGGGGCCTTAGTCAATGAGGCTGGGCGGCAGGGTGCCCTGCCCTGGCCCGTCTGCGCAGTCACAGGGCACGACCACATTCTCTTCTAGAAGCGCGCTGGATGGGGGTGGGGGGTGGGGGCGGGCGGAAGCAGGAGACAGCGCCCTCTCCTTCCGTTAACCGTGCCCCAATTTCCCCCCCAGAAAGCAGTGGGGGTATGAGGGGTGGGAATGGAGCACCCGGAGAGCAGAGGCCAGAAGGGAGTGGGGAGGGTCTCCTTGGGGCGGGAGGCGAGATGTCAAGATGGAAGTCACGGAGCAGGACTGATGGAAGTGGGATCGGGGAAAGCCAGGCCGGGCGGCGGGCAGCAGACGTGGCATGTGACCTGCTCAGCCGATATTGTGAGCACCCACTCTGTGAGGACACAGCAAACAGCCCAGTCCCCTTCCTCAGAGCTTCCCTTTCTGCGGAGGAGGAGACACAACGAACAGATGCTGAAAGAAGGATGAATGTGGGGAAGAGAAAGGCGAGTGGTCACAGGGGTGAGGGTGCGCTTCAGTGCAGGACGGGGGAGGGGGCGGCCTCTCGGAGCAGGTGGGGTGGTGACAGACCCCAGGGAGGGCTGGGAGGAGCTGTCCGGCAGAGGAGAGGGGGGTTTCAGATTATCTAGGGCAGTGGTCAGCAAACTGCGGCTCGCAAGCCACATGCGGCTCTTTGGCCCCTTGAGTGTGGCTCTTCCACAAAATACCGACTTCTGCGCATGGGCCACGAAGTTTCAATTGCACTGTACATGCACGCCCGAACGTGGTATTTTGTGGAAGAGCCACACTCAAGGGGCCAAAGAGCCGCATGTGGCTTTTGAGCCGCAGTTTGCCGACCACTGATCTAGGGCATGGCAGGCAGGTGAGGCCTTTTCTTAGTGGGAGGGGCCCTGCAGGCTTGTGATTGGAAGTGGTTCAGTACGCAGCCCGGGACTGGGTGGGGGGGAGGGGGGCATGACTGTGAGGGTCGGACCGGGGTGGGGCATATATGCAGGATGCTCCGAGACAGTTGGCTCTCAGTGCAGACTTGTCCCAGTTACACCTGAACGCCGATGTCCAGTGGCCTGGAAAGGAGTGCTGCCCACGCCACCCTCATTCTCTCTTCACCTGTCCTCCGCCGCCCTCCTCCCACTCCAGGGCAGTGGGGAAGTGGGGGTGGGGCATGGCCACTGTGACCCCCGCACGCTAGCCCCCTCCACCCTTTGCTTCCCTCCCACCCTGCGCGGGACCGATCTTGACAGCGTGGCCTCACCGGCGCCTTTGCTAAGCCTCGCCATCTGCAGCTCAGTGCAGATCCTGCCAAACTCCCGTCTGACAAATGATAAGAGACTTGGAGACGTCGCCGGGTGGGTGGGGCTCGGTGCCAGCCTGGCTGCTCCCCGCGCTGCGCTCCACGCGGCAGAGCCATATGGGTTGCTTTGGGTTTTAAAAAGCACATCGCCTCATGCCCTCCGTTCCGCCGGAGAGGTGAGCGGGATCTGGCGCAGACCAGGCGCGGAGGGTTTATGTGGCTGGGGCTGGGCCTGTGCTTTCCGACCAGGTGCTGCAGCCGAGGGGACCCCCCCCCAGCCATGGGCCCCCTCCTCTCGGCTTGGCGTCCCCAGTTTCGGGTGTTTGATCCTATCAGCCAGTCTCTCTGGTGATTAGAAGCGGAGATGTGTGTGGAACCTCGCACAGGACTTGCCAGGTAACCGCCATTCCGGTGACGGTGGTGCAGCGACCCTGTTGCATGCGGAGGGCCCTGCAGAGCTGTGCAGGCAGGTGACCAGGCTCCCTGGGGAGGCCTTCGCCAAGCAGGTGAGGGAGCCGTGAGCGGAGCCTGCTCTCGGAGCAGACATTCCGGGGGAGACACAGTGGCGACAAGCATTGTGTTCCTTGGCGAGAAGTGCTTTGAGGAAGTTGGGTGGGGTCCTTCCTATCTTACGCACGTGCCCAGGGGAGGCCATTTTGATCAGACCTTTGGGCCGAGACCCAAGTGCAGTGGAGAGCAGCCGGAGGCTCCCTGGGCAGAAGGTTCCAGGCCAAGGAACAGAACCTGCAAACGCCTTGAGGCAGGTTCTTGTTCCCATGGCAGCTTTATGTGCCTTCTCTCCTCTGCGGGGCGGGTGGTTACATTGACTTGGGTTCAAATCCCAGCATCGTCAGCGACTAGCCAGGGCTGTCGGGTGGCTCACATGGCCTCCCTGAACCTGTTTTATCTGAGAACCGGGGAACCGGTCCTCCTGCCTCCCACGAGTCCACCACGTGGCTCTGCGCTGGGCACACGGAGCCCAAGGGTGTCTCTTTTCTCTAACTACACGTGGCTGAAGGGCAGGTGCTCAGCTCGGCCTCTGCGTCTCCGAGGGCCTGCGATGCCCTTCACGTGTGTGACATAAGCATGCACTTGTTGAACTCAAGGCCTCTGTAAGGCCTTGCTGTGGTGTCTTTTAAAAACCAGAGGGGTTGAAGTTCAGTCATGGTTTTCATTCAGCTCCTGGTAAGAGAGTTTGCACGTGGCTGTGAGGAATAGAGCGGCCATGTGCAGGCGCGGCAGAACTGTGTTTACCGGTGTCGGGCACCGAAGACGCTGCTTCCTGTGGCCTACAAGGGGGTGGATTGTGCATGAGACTTACTGCTTCACATCAGAAAGAGGGTTAAAAAAAAACACTTATTGAGACCATTTACCGAGAAAATTGCCTTAAAACATTCGATAAATGCAAAGTGTTCTTTGTCCCGTTCACATGTCGTTCTGCAGCACCGATCACTGCGAGTCTCTGAAACGTGTTCTTTTACAAGAAGCGTTTAAAAGCGTCCCCATTTCTCGTTCCCATTTTGGTTTTCAGCACTGGATCTTCTGACGTTTCCTAAATGGCTTTTATACGCAGATTTATAAAAACATGAAAGCCGTGGTCCGCGCCCTCAACCTCATCGACGTGAACAGGACGGGCCGGATGCAGCCCAAGGAGCTGCGGCGTGTCCTGGAGACCTTCTGCCTGCGGATGACGGAGGAGGAGTACAGGAAGTGAGTGAGGGGGCACCCCGAGACCATTTCCAAAAGGGGGCCTGTCAGTTCCTCGGATCCTCACATTGTCCTCCCTCCCTCCCTCTCTCTGTCTCCACTCTCCTAAAAGGGGCCCTGTTCGCCATCCTCCCACATTCACGCGGCTCTCCTGGAGTCTCCGAAGGGAGAGCTGACGGCTCTCACTCCTTCAGCACCCAGGGTGGGAGTCACTGGCCTGGGACTCCCTGCACCTCCATGAAGGTGACCCAGCCCCAGCTGCCTGGCTCCTCCCGGCTGGCACCACACCCTCCAGCCCCGTGCTGGCAGCGCACAGCCACTCACAGCCTGGGGTTCAGAGGAGAAGGAAACTGTCCACATTTATTCACGAGCTGACACTCCCGACTGGCTCTCCATCCTGATACGTTCATTGTCTCGGAGGACTGTTCCTGCCGGGGTGGGGGCGCTCCACAGGGGACAGCGAGGGACTGAACTTCAGCTGCTCCGTGTTTGGAAGCCCTGCCACGTGCCCTGAGGGCACTGAGTGGAGCCACCAGTAAACTCGGGTCACGTAGAGGCAGCCAGGTGCTTGCTTCAGTGGCCACTTGAGTTTTGAATGGGAGCCGCTAGGAGGGTCCATGTTTAACTTTACAGAGGGCTCAGCCCCAGGCTCTCAGGCTCCTCCCCTTCCCACTTCTGTCAACACCCTCCAGGCCACCAACGGGAGTGCCACGCTCAGTGGTTCACCCCAACACTGACGTGGCTGTGGAAATGGCTCGCTGTGGTTCCTTGCACAGTATTTTTAATTTTTAAAAAAAAATCAGAGAGAGAGAGAGAGATCGATTTGTTTTCCCACTTACTTATGCATTCATTGCTTGATTCTTGTATGTGCCCAAACTGGGGATCGAACCCCAAACCTTGGTGTACGGGGACGAAGCTCTAATCAACTGAGCTACCCGCCAGGCGTCCTTGCAGTAGTAACGAGACATCGTGGCCTCTGTTGGAGGCGGAGGCCTGTGCTCCTGTGGTTGGGAAGTCAAGAGGGCGTGTGGCTGGCGCAGGCACTGCAGGGTCTGAAAAGCAAGGAGACATTTTAAAAATGGAAATCTCCCAGTCTTTTGAATAATTCCTTTTTTCCGCTTTATCACCCACCTCAGAATATAAAAGCCATAATAGATGTTTTAATTTTTACATCTTCCCGGCTGGGAAAGTGTCCAGAATAAGATCCAAACAAAACAAATTAAATAATTTTGTGCACGCAATTATAGAACACAAGCAACACTTTAAAGCCGGCAATCAAAAAGCAGAACTGTTTTATTTGACAATAAACCTTGCGTTTGGCACAGCCGTCTCCAACCTAGTAAATCTATAAAAAATGCTGCTGTCTGCTTCCCCATCTCACAAGCACTGAATAATAAAGGACTCCACACATTTTTTTTTTGAGATGTTTTAAGCCTCAGAAACAATGCTGTTTCCTGCTGAGGCTGAGGAGGGGGACTGTCTTCCTCGGGGAGGGAGCGCGGCCGTCAAAGCCGCCATGTCCTCAGCGGCTTCCATGCTTTCCCTGTGACTCACGCACATGCCCTTCCCCGGGAAGCTGCTTCAGGACTAACGGTGCCTTTTCCGTGTTTGAGCAGGAAACAGTGCATTTTTGAATCCTCCTTTCTGTTTAATCTATTTAATGTCAGCCTTCAGTGCTTGGTGTGGTGGGCGTGGCCGGGGCTTGGGGTCAGGCACCCTGGGGTCCAGTTGTGCTCTGCCCTCCCTCGTGCTTGGCCCTCGGGAGGCTCTGGGCCTCTCCGAGACTCAGTTTCCTCTTGAAGAAGCGGAGGCCGAGGAGCCTGCCTGGCAGGGATGGTGTGAGGAGTCCGGCGCGCCAGGCATTGATTCTGTACAAAGCGTGCGCGGTGCCATAAGCGCGTTGATTCCCTTAGCGCCCCCTCTCTTGGTAAAGAGCCCTCTTCAGGCTGCAGAATGCCGTCCAGCTGACACGAACCAGTGGGGGGCGGGGGGGGGGATGTGGAGGGGAACTCACCAGGTTTTACACCTCATCAGAGGATCCCGAGATCCAAGGGCTTTTCTTTCTTCGTTCCCATCTTGCCCCCCCCTGCCCTCCGCTGCCTTACAGGCCACAGTGCTGGAAGCAGGTGAAATAACTGATGAGCAGCCTGGAGACAGACAAAGGCCCTCCTCCGCCCTCACCAGCGGCCCGTCGGCTGCCAGCCGGGGAGCCCCCAGGCTCAGGTCCAGCCGGTGGCCCTGGAGAGGCTGCGGGGTCAGCTGGTATCTTTCCCTTTGCCCTTCCAGTCGACCTTCCCACAAGACTGACCTGCCTGAGGTCTCTGGATGTGTGGGTGCAGGTCCCTGGGAACAAGGCCTGGGTTGTATAATCTTAGGAGTGATTCTGTCTCCCAGGCCTTTATTCTTATTTAAAAAAACCCAAAATCCACACAAAAAAACCTCTGAGATACCGCACGCTCGGGCAGGGCGGGGCTGCGCTTTCTGGAGGAGGCCTCACCGTGGGTTCTGTCTGTCTGTGCGCAGTGACTGTGCCGCGGGCATTGAGACCGGGCTGGGAGGGCGTTAGGAGCAAATGCCAGTTTGAAGGGTTGCTGGTTTTCACAGCAAATGCTAGAGCTGGTGAGGAGATTGCCGCCTGTGTCGTTTCCCTGTAGCAGCCGGCAGCCAGCACTGTCTAGAGTTCGGCGACTGAAAAAGGGAGCGTTCGGGGCGCCTCCTGGGTCCCGAGCTTAAGCCTTCTTCGCAGGAGACAGCCTGTGGGTGAGGGCGGGCGTTTGGGGACCTCAGTGCTACATCCGGCAGCTATCAGATCTCAGGATAATTTTCTTGGTGGAACAATAGGCAGGATTCACCACGGCGGGAACAAAGGTGTGCGCGGGGATGCGTGCATGACATCACCCTTTGTTAAATTTGGAAAACAGAAAAGTAACAAATACTTTAAGTGATAATTACTAAATTTGTAGAAAGCAGCATGAGATGAGATAATTATAGAAACCAACACATATGGAGATAATTTAACCAAACCTTTAAAAACTGTCATTTTTAAATAAATGTAACAACGTTGAAATTATCTAGAAAACTATATATCAGGTGACACACTGGAATAACTGGAAAAAAAATTCCAAATATCCTATTTATCTTAACTTAAAAAATAGCGTTTCTCCATATATTTCAGGGAGAAACATTGGTTGTAATTAAAATTTTCTCTATATATAGAAATCATAGCATGTGCCAAGAAAAGTACCCCCCCCACACACACACCCCTGCTGCAATTAACGGCTTGAAACAGTATGTCCTGCTGGCCTCAGTTTCTCTGGTGAAAAGACACGCTTGGTCAAGGTGATGGGCATGTTCTCCCTGCACCCAGCTCTAGGCTCCCTGATTACTGACATTTTAACCAGAGAAGCTATCTCCTGGCCCAGCTCCGTTCCCCCCAATTATGACAGGAAAGTAGAGCCTGCCTTTGCTCTGAGTGCCGGCGTGGCTCCCAGGCAGCACACACCCTGGCCACACCTCCTCCTGCCACAGAAAGATGGCCTCATAGGTGTCCCAGGGTGGGTCCCGAGGCGATCCTGCCCCGTTGGCCTCCACGTGTGCACCTGTCCCGTTGGTCCCATGGGCCTCCACGTGCGCCTGTCCCATTAGACTCCATGCACATCCACCTATAGACAGAGTGAAGGGCTCTGCTCAGAAGTACCTGTGTCTTTAATAAAGGGTAACATTTCCTGGCTGCACGTGTAACTCCAGTGTAGCTAGAAACACCATTAGAGTGAACACCACCCCTAGTGTGGACGATGCCTTAGTGACAAACGTGCTTCATTTGTAGTCTGTCCACAATTGCTGGTCACTAAGGCGTGTTTCTCTTTTAGGTTTGCAGAACACTACAGCATTAATACGGATGCCTCAGTGGATTACAATGCCTTTTTGAAGAGCCTCAGTATAAATAATAACTTAAACCTCAAGTATTATTTGGGAGATCAAGGTATGTATTTTTAAGTATAGGGCTAAGGTTTAAGTAGCCTGGGCATGCACGTCCTCATCTGTGGACCTGCCCTGAGGAAATGGTTTATGGAAAGTGCATTATCCCCAGAGGAGGCCTGGGATCGGGCATCACCAGAGGAACACGCATGTCCAACAGGAGGAAGGGTAAGAGCCACAGCGCACCCGCCCAGTGCGGTGCCGCCATGAGCCATGCTTTCCACGAAGGTCACGGGAACATGGAAAACGTCTGTGGAATATCAGCAAACTGTTGGAAAGAAATTCCAAAATACAGATTGTCCTTAAGTGATCTGTCTCCGGGTGCTATTCGGTTCTTTTTTTTTTTTTTTTTGCTGCTTCCTTATTTTCAAAAGATTTTGATAATGAACATGTTATTCCTTAATGGTGGGGAGAATCTCACTATAAAAGGGCAAACAGTTGAGTCATTTATGTTGGTCATGCACAGCCAGGCTTATGCAGGCTGATCACCCGGAGAAGGAAAAGTGTTCCTTTTTTTAAAAACATATTTTATTGATCTCCGAGATAAAGGGAGACGGGGGGAGAGAGAGAAACATCAATGATGAGAGAGAATCATTGATCGGCCGCCTCCTGCACGCCCCCCACTGGGGATCGAGCCCCCAACCCAGGCATGTGCCCTGACTGGGAATCGAACCGTGACCTCCTGGTTCATAGGTGGACATTTAAACACTGAGCAACGCAGGCCGGGCAAGTTTTCCTTCCTTTATCTCAGCCACGTCAGCAGTACCCAGAGCTGTGCCCTGCTGGCTGGCTCTGCAGGGGCAGGTTCCCTCCCTGAGAGCACGTGTTTGAGGGGTGCCAGCGGAGATGCCCCCTTGAGGCCCTGTGCTCCCCTGAGGCCGGTGGTGTCTTGCCTCAGAGTCTACCGCTGTGATTGGCTCACTCAAGAGGGCTTGTCGCTGTCCGGCTTCAACTTAATTCCGCACAGCAAGTATTCCGGGCACCTTCTGCTTCGCTCTGCCTCGCTGGCAAGCTTCACATGACAGTTCTGAGTTCAGCTCGGTCTCTAACCACGAAAGCTTATGGCGGACACCAGGCTCTGCTTTTACAGGCCCCTGGCTTGGGAATTACCTAGACAAGGACATCTTCCAAGGACCCTTTCGTCCCTCACATCCAGTTACGATGCAGGTCCTGTTCTAGGCCCTTCGCTGGGCGCAACACCGAGTAACACACTGTGTTTAAGAAGTGTGTGTGTGGCCTGGCCGGCGTGGCTCAGTGGTTGAGCATCCACCCATGAACCAGGAGGTCACAGTTCAGTTCCCGGTCAGGGCACATGCCTGGGTTGCAGGCTTGATCCCTGGTGTGGGGCGTGCAGGAGGCAGCTGAGCAATGACTCTCTCTCATCATTGATGTTTCTATCTCTCTCTATCCCTTTCCCTACCTCTCTGAAATAAAAAAAAAAAATATATTTAAAAAAATGTGTGTGTGTGTGTGTGTGCATTAATATAGGGCAGGTATATTGTGTGAATATTAAATAGGGCAGGTGAGATACAATAAGTCACGTGAAGAAGAAGTAATACTCAAAAGCAACCGCAGGGTGTTCCAAAAATGTACACACACTTGAACAGCTGACAGCTCAATTGGGCTTCTTTCTTTTCAGATTTAACCCATTGGAATTAATTCCTCAGAGTGTGGATACATTTTGGGACACCCTGTATTTATTGTGCTCTGTGTAGATACTTTAGAAACTTTAATGTAAAATTTCATTTCTCTCAATAGCTTTGTGAGGCGGTTTTATGATCCCATTTTCAGGTGAGAAAACTTGGACTTGCGGTGCTAGTTTGTGGTGGAGTTGAGAGTTAAACTATTCAGCTCCAAAGCAAACTATTTACGGTATATGCCCCCGAGAAATGAACATGTCATGGTGTTCAGAGGGGGAGGAGGGAGCTAGGAGGCGCCTCTGCAGGACCAGGGTTCACAGGGTCGGGTGACGGAGCCCGGAGACCGAGGGCATGAGCCTTCCAGCCCCAGGCCCTGGCGGGCTGTGCAGTTAGCTCGAGCAGGGGGTGAGGTGGTGCCTAGCCTGACCGGAGAGGGTTTACATCACAAAGAAGTTCATGTGCCCGTTTTGTAACCATCACAGTTGACCCTGTTAGTGAATATTTGTTCCACACACGGCACTAGTCTTTTTTTCATTTTCACCACAGTCATGTGAGGCAGGCGCAGATGCAGGGGAATAAAAAGACAAAGAAAAGGATCAAACCAGTCCTCCCACCCGTGAAAAGATAACCACTCTCAGCGTCAATCCTGGCATCTTTCCGTGCAAATCTGTGCGAAGGAGGCGCAGATAGAAAAAGTGCATTTGTAAAATGGGCTCACACGTGCTAGCTCATGTAAGTGTTTGTTTTTACTTGAGTGTGTCAGAAGAATAGGGTTGAAATGGAGCTGAGGAAAAGGGATGTATCTGTCTATTGGCTGCATGTCATGTTCGGGTCACACTTTCCCCTTCAGAACATCATAGACTTGCGCCCATTGCTTTCTGGCCCCAAGTCTGCTTAACTTTCTCGCTGGTTGTAACGGCTACCCCAGAGGTGACTGTATGGCTAGGGTTTGTCTTGGTGTTGAGCTTTTTGTACCAAAACACAGTTTATTTTCAATCTGCAAATTTAATTATTTCTTTATGTCAAGGATTGTTGTGGTTTTTTTTTTTGCAGTAATATTATATAGCTTTGGATATCTTCTGATCCATTTTTCAGATTTTTAACTTCAGTGACACAAATTATCCTTATGTTGGATTGTCTTGTCTTCCGTATCGATTAAATTCTCTCAGTTCACTTTATTCTCTGCCTTTTCCCTCTGCATTCACAGTGATCACCTTCGCTCTTTTATCCATCCCTGTAATTTGCTTCTCTCCCAGGTGTATTCTGTTCCTTGCTGTGTCTACTTTGTTACTTCTATAATGGAGTTTTCTTTTGTCTGTTATACTATTTTTCATTTCATTTTGTTGTTTTGTTATCTTTTACTTAATTCATGTTCTTATTAAGATGCTAAAATTGTAATTTTGTACCATGAGTTACATTTTTAAGCAAAATGGGAGCTTTGCCTTTGTGGAGTATGCCCCCTTCTTTCTTCTCTGTCCACCTACCTCTCCCCCTGATATTTTTCCTGTAGAATTTGCATAATTTCAAGAAATTTGGATAAATTGAGCATTTTTATTCCATTATCCATCTTTAATTAATTAGAATCTACCTTTAAGTAATACTGTACTAATTCACATAAAGTGTAAGGACTTTGCAACAGTGTTTTTCCAATTCTTCTCTCCTGTTCTTTGTTATATCTGTCATACATCATATTTTGACATACACTAAAAACACGATACATTGCCATAGCTTCTAGCTTTCCACTGAGATTTTCTGTGTATTCATTCATTATGAGTGTGCCACGCCAGCACGACCAAGGGTGATCCCGAGTGGGGGGGGGTGAAAGGATTAAGGAAAGACAGACGAGAATAATAGCTGGGTCTCGGTGGGACGCTGCTCCCTGATGAGGAGACAATGACAGCACCCACAAGCCGTGTCTTTATTTTATAGCAGATGCCACGAGGCAAAGTAGGGGCGTGATCACGTTGTTTACAGCATTCTCGTGAGTTTCAACCTCACTCAACTACATGCACCCGAACTCCATCACAAGGCACGTGGGGCCACGTGTTCGGACCATAGGTTCAAGCTTACAACCACAGCCGTTGGCTATAATTGTGCTGGGAGGGCCCTGCCCTCCAGCTGGGACTTGCACGTGGCAATGAGAGGACCCTGTCCTTTCATTAGTCCGAGGCTTGAACCTGGCCAAAACACTGTACCCGCGCCCCACATATGAGTATATTTTCTTTTATATTCTCAAACACTGGTTTTATGTAAATGGCTTTGAAATTTTAACCTGCCCCCCCATGTCTGGGAATTTGGGAATTTGTCCTGGATATTCCAGTAGTAAATTTTGTGTTGTGGAGACTAGGGACTCTGTTACGTTCCTCTGGAGAGTTTTGTTTTTAGCAGCCAGTTTACTTGGCTCCATTCAGCCTCTAATCTGTGCCTTCCTGAGGGAGTTCACTCACACCTGGACCCTCCGGTCTCCTCTCGGCTGGGCTTTTGTTGTCCGCTCCGCGCAGCCGTCATGTGGTCAGCCAGAGGTTTGGCAGAGAACGCTCACAGAGCCTCCTCTTTGCCTCTCTTTGTGGGCTTTCCCTCCTTGCTTCCCGATGCGGTGCTGGTCATTGACGCTGTTTTCTGGTTCAAAACCCAGCAAGACCCTGGGTTGATTCCAAATTCGAGCCACTCGGCATGATTGCAGCGGCGGCTGCTCGTGGGCTAAAGGCCAACAAGGAGCAGCGCAGTGAGCGTTACTCCACGTTTCCACGTGCAGCTCCAGTCACGTCAGCTGCTCTCCAGGGCCTTCAGGTAGTTCTGTGTGTGTGTTTTGGCCAGAGGTTAGAACTGTTTTCTGCTGGAGGGTTGGTTCAGTGTGAGCCAACCTGCAACAATTGGAAGCAGAGCTTTCTGGCTGCCCGTATTAAGTTCCTTTTTGCTTCAGTTTCCTGCTGGTAATTTTTTCCTAGTTTTTCCTATCTTTTTCTCTTTAAGAAGGTAGGTTTTATAATACAATTTCAATTCACCATGGAAACCTCATTTTTCATTTGACAATAATTAGCAGCAGGCTTTACTGGGGATTCATAAAATAGTGACACGTCTCATAACGAAAGGCTCCTTTGATCTGCTTAAATGTGAGATGTGTATGTGGTGACTCTTCCGCATTCCTGTTCCTGCAGCATCAGCCCGGTTCTCGCTGCTGCCTGCTGAGCGGGTCATCGTCTCCAGCACGGCCTCTCCGGCCTGCCTCTGTACCCAGCCATAGGGACCATCTCACCATCAGATCTTCCTCACGCCTGGCTTCCCCTTTAAACTTCTCCGATAACTTCCACGATTGAAGTTCACACCCTTCCGTTGAGGCAGCCTCCTGGTGTGGGTGTCCTCAATGAAGGGCACAGTCTGTGTCTCGGGAAGCCACTACCGCCTTCCTTATCGAAAGTACCGACCGCCTATTTGGGCACATGAAGAGATGACATTGGGGCGATTTCCTTTACGCTCCCGGTTTCCTCTCAACCCCATTTCAAACCAGCAGAATCCTTCCCAGGAGACTGAGGGCCGGTGGGAGGCGGCAGGAATGACTGAGCTGCACTGGAGAGCGAGGCCGGTGTAGCTGCGGGTGGAGGGCACCGGATGGGGCAGGGGGCTCTGTAACCCGCCTGGTGGAGGGCACCAGATGGGGCAGAGGGGGCTCTGTAACCCGCCTGGTGGAGGGGCACTGGATGGGCACAGGGGGCTCTGTAACCCGCCTGCTGCAGCAGCTGTAGCTGCCCAGGGCCTGGAAGATGGGCTCCCAAGGGCAGGCCTCACTTGTGCCTGTGCCAGTCCTGCGCCTCCCGGGCCTGCCGTGTGTCAGAGCACACCAGTGTCGCCGGAGTGCAGGGGGCACAGGGCACAGTGCCCGCAAGTGTGCGGTCAGGTCAGCGCCTGGTCTGGGCCTGGCCTCCCCAGCTTTCCGCGAGACTGTGCCGCGTGCGGCCTGAGAGCCCGTGTTTCCCGCGCTCAGACCGTCCTGAAGGACCGGCTTGCATTTTATTGTGTAGCCAGGGGCCCGCCGGGCGGCTGCTCCTTTCCCTTCCTGTCTTGCTTCTTTGAGGCAGGAAGGGAGCTGCAGGCGACGGCGGTTGGTAGCTGCAGCTGGTGGTTACGAGTGCGCTTAATGTGAGCGCAGCTTATTTGCAGACATTTTAGGAAATAAATCTGGGAAACCATTTGTGATTCTTTGCAGTCAGCTTTGAGAGAGAAAATGGCTATATTTTAGATTTAATTCATTATCTTTATTATAAAAGTAATACATGCTTACTGCAAAAAAAGAAAGAAAAAGAAAAGAAAAAAGAAAGCCGGAAAACGCATCAGCACAAAATAGCAGTCCCTGTTATCCTCCACCCGAATCCTACCACTGTGTGCTTTGTGGTGCATTATCCTCCCAGGTTTTATTTCTGCTGCATGGATAGATGGATGGATGGGTGGATGGAAGATGGATGGATGGGTGGATGGATGGATGGGTGGATGGAAGATGGATGGATGGGTGGATGGATGGATGGGTGGATGGAAGATGGATGGATGGACGAATGGATGGATGGGTGGATGGAAGATATATGGATGGATGGAAGATAGATGCATGGATGAATGGATGGATGGGTGGAAGATGGATGGATGGAAGGAAGATGGATGAATGGATGGAAGATGGATGGATGGATGGATGGATGCATGCATGCATGGATGGATGATGGATGGATGGATGGATGGAAGATGGATGGATGAAGGATGGATGGATGGAAGATGGATGCATGGATGCATGGATGGATGGAGATGTATAGGCAAATACAAAAAATAAGTGTTAAAATGAAAATTTAATGATGCTAGTTGTCCTTTCTTTTAATCATGAAACAATATATATCAAAGAAAGCTTTCCCCGTGCGTTAATTTAGACAGGCACCTTTGTTTTTAATATCTGTGCAGCATTTCATGCGGGATAAGCCATCATCTGTAAACCCAGTCTCTGTTGATGAGCATCTACATTGTGCCAAGTGTTCCTCTCTCACAGCAGTGCAGGGAGCACCCTGCCCGTGGGCATTTGCGGGGGGTCCTCTCGTTCCTTTGCTACAACGTTGTAGCAGGGACCTGGCAGTGCTCCGGGCCCTGGTTTTCTATACACAGGCCGGAACTCACTGATTTCTTTCTTTATCGTTCCCTTTAATCCTTGCCTACGTGACAAGTAGAAAATGTTAAATTGTGTTTTTTTTAAAGATATTTTTTATTGATTTCAGAGAGGATGGGAAAGGGAGAGATAGAAAAATCAAAGATGAGAGAGAATCATTGATCAACGGCCTCCTGCACACCCCCTATTGGGGATGGAGTCCGCAACCCGGGGACATGCCCTGACCAGGAATTGAACCACGACCTCCTGGTTCATAGGTCAAACTTATTTTAATTAGACTATTAAAATTACCAATGAGTTTGAGCCATTTTTCATATATTTGTTAGATTTTTTTAGTCCTTTTTATGTGAATTACCTGTTTATAACCTTAGTCTATTGCTCTATTGAGTATATTTATCTTATTGATTTGTAAAAGCTACTCATATATTATGGAAATTAACCTGTATTTCTCATGTATATTAGCAATAGTTTTTCCCACTCATTTTCTTTCATTGTTATTTGTGTGAGTGTGTTGTTTTTTACCAAATAAAAATAAATATATTGTTGGACCTAGTCATTATTTAAGTGATTTCTGGCTTGAAAGTGTTCCTTAGAAAGGACTTCTCACACAAATGCTATGTGTTATGTGATATTCATCTTCATTTTCTTCTATTACAGTTTTATTACTCTACTCACTGTACACTTGGCTCTATCCAAGGTTTATCTGAGGATAAGATAGCAAAGAGATTAATTTTTTTTAAATGTTCATCCAGTTACTTCAATACCATTTATTACATAGTTCATCATGGTTTGGTGTATTCGAGTCTCAATTTCTACCAGTCAGGTTATGATGAAAAGGAAACCTTTAATATTTAATTGTGCCTCTGACAATATTAATAACCTAAAGCTCTTCCATTTTACTAGGGGCCTCAGGGGAGAATCAACGAGCAAAAACTGCCTCGAGGGACTGCGCCGTCCGCTGTTCCGATGCACCCGGAAGCCACTGGGAGGACCGCTCCCTGGATGACGTCGGCAGGGCCTTTTGCCAGGAGGTGAGGGCGTTTCCCAGTGCCAGGTTCTCCAAGTGGGCAGGGGGGCCGCGTGGAATACCATTAGGTCAGACGTCGGTTCTAACGTTAGGTTTGCTCCTATCTGCACCCCCGCAAACCCTACTTCCCCATCTCCTACTAACAGTCACACAGTGATGATAGTGATGGTGCTGAGACCTGGGTTAAGTGCCTGCTTTGTGTTACTCACACACTGAATCTCATAAGAAGTATTTAGGACATATAAAAACAGGGTGCAGCTGCCCTGGCCCGCTGGCTCAGCTGGTGGGAGTGCTGTCCTGTGCACCACAAGGGCGCGGGTTCGACCCCCGGTCCAGAGGCAGCCGACCCACGTTTCTCTCTCTCTCTCTCTCTCTCTCTCTCATTCAATAAAAACATATCCTCAGGTGAGGATGAAAACAACATGACACAGATTTATTGAATAAAATATAGGAAACTTGCATCAGTAAAGAGGTCTTTCCTAGTTCTTGGATTGGAAGATGCGCTGTTAATGCCTGCTCTCGCGGTTAGAACCTTTTCTTTTGGGAAGTTATAATGGAGGACGGGTCCGCCCACAGATGGAAAGTTTTTGAAGGTAGAATAATGCAGACGGTATGGCACTGCGCCCGTAGTGGGCATTCAAGGTGATTTGAAACAGCAGTTGGATAATAGCGCAATTTTTACGTGTGAATTCAGCTTATGATTTGAGGTGTGGAGGGATGGGAAGTGGAATGTTCACTAATGATTGTTGGGATAATTCTAGCCATCTGGGGGGGGGGGAGCTGTAAACTTCCCCTCCAAATGCATTCTGTATGCATCCACTATTTAAATTTAAAAGCAAATAATGTGGGTGAAAACATTTTAAGATTGACATTTAGACCTTTAAATGTGAAGTAAAGCCCGAAAACCGTAAAGAAAATGATCGATAAATTAGACTGCATTGAAACGAAAAGGCTCTCTACAGCAAAACTTTATATAAACAAATGATAAGCTTGGAGAAAAGTGTGCCATGTAAACAAGAGAAAAGTAATAACTGCTCCTAACATAGGTAGCACTCTTACAAATTCTTGATATAAAATTGTCAGCAGGAAATTGTCAGTGAGGAAAAAATTAAGAAAAGCCAGTGGTGGTGAGGGTACCAGACAAGTGAGCACCGAATGGGCTCTTGGTCAGTTGGTGAAACTTGTGTTGTTAATGAATTTATTGGTTTCATCAGAACATGGGTATTACAAATCATAAATGCGAGCAATTCTGAAAGCCACAAAGGAGAAAGTAATACACTATTCAGAGACTACCATCCAGCAATGACCAAAGGCAACATTTGGGAACATAATTCCCGGCCTGTCTCGATTCACAAACGTGGAAG